GATGAGTTTTATAAACAATTGTAAATGCTAATAACGAGCAAAATCATGAGTAAGTCCGACTGTATGTAATTCGATTATTATTACTTATCTTATCAGTATGGCCTTTGACCCCTCTGGGGAAATCGGGGGCCATTACTGATAAGATAAGTAATAATAATCGAATTACTGGTAGTAACGAATAACCAGTAGTACTAGAGGAAAAAGGGTCACGATATTAGTTCATTAATATTAAATTTTATTATGAATGTATGTCTGTTTAATCTGACAAATTACATTCGGTAGACTATCAATACAGCTTTCAGGTTAGACACTTCTTTTATTGTTTTCACATATGCATTTCAGGCTTATATAAATGCTAAGCCCCTCTTCAGTGCAATACTACAAATTATTAAAAAAAACAACAGTTAGTGATTTGACAAAATTAAAAGGTTTTAAAAAACATTAAAGGTTCTAACAATAGCATAAAAAATACTGATGAAGTCATAAATAATATCCAAAAAATAAAAAAAGAAAGATCAGATACATTAATTAGTTTAGATATAAAAAATATGTATCCGAATATAAAGTGGAAATCAGTAGAAAACAGCCTAATACAACTACAAATTGATAAAACAATAATTGAACTTATAAAATTTGCATATGCCAGTAATTATTTTGAAGTTTATAATGATTTTTACAGACAAATAGACAGTGTCAGTATGGGGTCAAAGATGGGGCCAAAACTGGCTGAATTAGTTATGAAAAATATTGATGAAAAAATACAAAATATCCCTGGTGTTAAAATGGTGATGAGATATGTAGATGACTACTTATTAATCTATAATAATAAAATAACGAATGATACAATAATATTAAATACTATAAATAATATAAATGAAGATATAAAATTTGATATTGAATTAGAGAAATATAACCAAATAAATTTTTTAGATATAACAATAACTAATGAAATAGACAAATTTTCTTTTAAAACGTTTAAAAAACCATGTAACGTCAATAAAACCATTAATTATCAATCTTGCATTCCTAAAACTATAAAAAAGAACACCTACATAATGGGTCTGAAAAATATATATACAAGAACTACTAATAATATAAATTGTAAAATTGAATTAAAAAAATTAGAGAATAAATTTATTTTGAATAATTACCCCAGTTACAAGTTAAAAATGTGGCGCAACCAGTATTATAAAAACAGATTTAATATCAAATATAAAAAAGATAAGAATTATAAAGCTTTTCCTTATATCAATAATGTTTACAANAGTCTTCGTTAGGCTTAACATCGACGAAAATTCAACGCGAAGCGACACACAACAGAGAAAAATTTCAACATGGGATAAATTAATATATTTTTTCGTGCATAATCGGTTATCCGGAATATCGATTTTCCGAACAACCCCAGACCCCAATTGATTCGGATAATCGACGCTCTACTGTAGTTATGAAAAATATTGATGAAAAAATACAAAATATCCCTAGTGTTAAAATAGTGATGAGATATGTAGATGACTACTTATTAATTTACAATAATAAAATAACGAATGATACAATAATATTAAATACTATAAATAATATAAATGGAGATATAAAATTTGATATTGAATTAGAGAAATACAACCAAATAAATTTTTTAGATATAACAATAGCTAATAAAATAGACAAATTTTTTTTAAAACGTTTAAAAAACCATGTAGCGTCAATAAAACCATTAATTATCAATCTGGTATTCCTGAAACTATAAAAAAGAACACCTACATAATGGGTCTGAAAAATATATATACAAGAACTACTAATAATATAAATCGTAAATAATAATCTAAATATGTAAAACTAGCTGTTACTCGCGGCTTTGCCCGCGCGGATTTTGCAAGCAAACCTCATTTATATTTACAATTTCAACAACCATAGTAATTGTTATATAACACCTACCGCTGAGAATGATGAGAATTGCCGAGAATCAAATGAACTATTTTCAATTTGATCAATTTTCTGGAACGTTTGCAATCGTTCTATAATCGAACCAATATGCAACAACAAATTCTAATTTAAAACGGTTCGAAGAACATTTTTTAAATCGAAATGGATAAAAATATTTATAACAATGTCTGAAATGTTATTAATTTAATACAGCTAAGTACTCGATAAAGACTAAAACCTCTTTCTCTCCCCCCGCGGGGAAATTTTGAAAAATCCCTTCTTAGTGTGCATTGCCATGGCATACCCTACTATAACGCAGATAAAAACAAAAAATCGCATCTAAAACAGTACAGTAGAAGCCGTTGTTCCGGTTAAGCCTTAATGCTCTCCCTCACCCCCCGTGGGGGAATTTCAAAATCCCTTCTTAGTGAGCGTTTCTATGACGTACCCTAACTGTGTACCAAATTTCACCTCTTTAGGTTAAGCGGTCTGCTCTGGACGATGATGAATCAGTGAGTGAATGAGTGAGTCATTCAGTCAGTCAGTGAGGACAAGCAATTTTATATATTTAGATTGCTTGTTCTTACTGACTGAATGACTCACTCACTCATTCACTCACTGATTCATCATCGCCCAGAGCAGATCGCTTAACCTAAAGAGGTGAAATTTGGTACACAGTTAGGGTACGTCATGAAAACGCACACTAAGAAGGAATTTTTCGAAATTCCCCCGCGGGGCGGAGAGGGAGAGGGAGAGGATTTAGTCTCCATCGAGTACTTAGGTGTATTAAATTAATAACATTTCAGACATTGTTATAAATATTTTTTATCTATTTCGATTTTAAAAATGTTCGAACCGTTTTAAATTCGAATTTGTTATTGCATATTGGTTCGATTATAGAACGATTGTAAACGCTCCGGAAAATTGATCAAATTGAAAATAGTTCATTTGATTCTCGGCAATTCTCATCATTCTCAGCGGTAGGTATTATATAACAATTACTATCGTTGTTGAAATACTAAATATAAATGGGGTTTGCTTGCAAAATCCGCGCGGGCAAAGCCGCAGATAACTGCTAGTAATAAATATAAAATAAATGTTGATAATTTAAAAAAAAATCAGGAGTGGTATATAAAATTAATTGTAATTGCCAAAAACTAAAAAATTATATAGGTGAAACTAGTAGAACGTTAGAATTAAGAATTAAGAATTAAAGAACACGAAGCAGCAATAAGATTAAAATATAATAATTCTCCGTGGTTCAACCATATAAGAAATAGTAATTGTCAAATAGATAGAAATAATATAAAAATAATTCATTCAGAAAAAGATATGTATAAACGTAAATTTAAAGAACATGTTGAAATTATAAAATTTAAAGATAATAATTTAATCAATATATCAAATGGTATGCAAATAGATCAACAGTGGTACAATATGATAGAGAGAGCTAAAATAAAAAAAGTGATTGTAATGTATCCATTTTACAAAGTCTCGTGTGAGAAAATGATGGGTAATATATTGTGAAATGATGAAATAATGTACGTATTCTCTTAAAAATGATTTTAATATCACTATAATGCATGTAATTAACCAGTAAAAAAAACGATAATAATTACAGTTACTGCAACGTTGTGTTGTAGAAAATATAAATTCTTTAAAAGTTGTACTTATATAAGATTTTGTGAGCACATGTTAAAAGTACGTATTGTATTACTTTGTTGTTTTTATTGGAATATGTTATGTAAAAAATTATTAAAAAATATTAATTTATTAGGGTTTTCGTATGAATGCTTGGAAAGTGTAGTTTAGATGTTTTTAATGGCTGTATTAAAAACTCTTCCCAATGTCACCGAGGTTTTAGAAGACGGAACCATATGTATAAATATGACAATTTTTAAGTACACAGTGCGGCAATTATATTCCGGGACTGGATCTATAAAAATGTAACAAAACAATTTTATTCAAATCTTTTTATTAAATTATTCAAAATACTCTCCTCCTGCTTCAATACACTTTTTACAGTGATTCAATAGTGATTCAAATGCCTGCTCAAACTCAATTTTCGGTATTGCCTCTAATATGCGCGTAGACTCTCTTTGGATGGTTTCAATATCATTAAAAATGCGTCCTTTCAACTTCATTTTCATTTTTGGAAATAAAGAGAAGTCACATGGTGCTAAATCGGGGGAATACGGCAAATGATTCAACACACAGACTTGATTTTGTGCCAAACATTGACGAACAATCAATGATGTGTGACTCGGTGCATTATCGTGTAACAAACACCAGTCATCAGAATTGCGATATTCTGGTCGAATTCGACGAATTCTTCCCATTAATCGTTGTAAAACTCCCAAGTAGAAAGCAGCAGTAACTGTTTGACCCTGTGGGACGAACTCACGGTGGATGACGCCTTTGCTATCGAAGAAAACAATGAACATCGTCTTGATTTTTGATGGAACTTTTCGCGTTTTCTTGGCTTGAGGTGATGATAAACACTCACTTCCATACACTTTCTGCATCATTTTGAACGTTTCTGTGGCACTTGTGCCAGTTTAGCATGAAATTTAATAACAGCACGTTGTTCCATTATTGTTTGCCGACATGTAACAAAATAAACTGATAAACAATATATCAAAAACAATGATAAATGTTAACCGATTTAAATAAAAGTTTTAGGTTAGTAGCGACATCTGTTCAAACTTCATATGACATAAAATTTAAACAGATGTCGCTACTGGTTGCTGAGATATAGCTTCAGTCCCGGAATTTAATTGCCGCACTGTGTATGATGGTTTTAGGTCAGTAAATATGACCTACATACGAGGAATTTTGTCAAATCACTAACTGTTTTTTTTTAATCATTTGTAGTATTGCACTGAAGAGGAGCTTAGCATTTATATAAGCCTGAAATGCATATGTGAAAATAATAAAAGAAGTGTCTAATCTGAAAGCTGTATTGATAGTCTACCGAACGTAATTTGTTGGATTAAAGAGACATACATTCATAACGAAATAACAACTACCATAAGTGATATTTAGAATTAAATTTTATTATTTTCAATGTATAAGTACAGTACATTAAATTACATAGCCGCTTCCTGATCCGGTGACCAAGTTATACGCGTTACATCCTGACCATTGGGCTTTTGCTGCTGACGTCTTCTTGTCCTTGTTCCTTCGTTGTTAAAGAGTCTGTTTTGGTTCTATGGGAAGTCCATGGACATGTCATAGTTATACCATATGGGTTTGAATACAATGTCGTACATTTCAACTTCGATTTTCATGTGATAGGTGATGAAAACTTGGAAGAAGACCTTTTCGTAGGAACCATCGGTTGTATGTAATTGTGTTGGTCTTACAAATATTAAAGGGGATACGGAAGAGTCTATCATTGTTATTTAGGTCAGTACGATTAAAGACAAACCATCAACAAAGGATTGATGGTAGTTTACACTACGTTTATCCCAATAACTGTATGCTTTTTTAGCATCTTCAATTGGATTAATCATGTGATTATCTAAGGAAGGTTGGAGGGCTGTTCTCCACATTCCAGCGTCATGCGTTCCACAATGCCATGTGTATCCGTATTCGGTATTTGGTTGTATTGTCTCCGAAATTTTCAGAGTTATATACGTTGAACCATGCTTGGTATAAGTTATCGTATTTATTTTCGTCTACCGGTTTGTCTGCACCTTCCGCCATGAAATATCTATCAAATATGGCGTCCATGTGAAAGGAAGGACGTCTTAGGGCCATTTCCATCAATGTCATGTTTCCACCTTCGTTAAATTTAATGGCTTTATTTGGAAGGCATTTTTCAGCTGTTTCTGTGTCCCAAATATGGAAACTTTGGATTGGAAGTTGTCTACCATGATCTTCAAAACATTCCAAGAACGGAAATAGGTTGAAGGTCTGGTTAGGCATGACCGCTCCTCCGGTTGTTTTTAGTTCGTATGTATATTACGGGGAGTAATATACAGTGTTTAAAGATCCTGGCAAAGTCAAATGTGATTCTTTTTGGACCTTTAGGTAGTTGGACCATTTGTTGAACTATTGGCCCTCCTCCGTTGTCATCGGCGGGAACAACTCCTTCGGAGACAGCAGTCGGCGCGGACGCCGCAGAGGCCGTTTCCTTCGCGGTGCTTGAGGGCAGATGTAGCTTCTTGGCAGCTTGGGGGTTGGAGTGAAGTTCTCGTCCGGTTCGTTTATGCGGTTTGGTGGGGTTATGATGATCTCCACGGGTTTCGATTCCTGGGGTCTCGGAGTCGGGGGTCTTTTCTGTAAGAGTAACTCAAATTAGTGTGAATATTCTACGTGTTAGGTACAGTAAAACCTGTCTATGACGACCACCCACGGTTCCTTCAAAAAGTGGTCTTTTAGACAGGTGGTCCTGTAATAACGTATTTCCGTACGTATTTTGCGCACTTTTTAGCCATTTCTACTAAGCAAAACTCGAGGTCAGCAAAAAGAAGCGAATTTTTTCAACGATAGGGCTATATTGGTATTGTATTTTATTGTAAAGATTAATACAATACTCGCATTTTCTCGATTATAATGCACATTTTCTTTTTTCCGACTTAATTAATTCGACTCGGTTCTTTTCGTTCTCTCCTCAGTTACGTGTATTACGTCATCAATATACAAGCGCGTCCTATCTCTCCATCACTTTGCTTTTGGTTTTCGTTAGTTTAATCTTATTTTAACTTTAAAAATACTGTATTTTTTAATATTTAATATTTTCTTAATTAATTAAGTACAATAAGAAAAATTATTAATTAATAATAAAACGATTTTATTATTTTTTCTCATTATACGATTTCATTACAATCGCGGAATCGAAAAAGGAAGTAAAACTGATTTTTGCATTAATGCGTTTATTGTTTTTTGAATATTTTGCCTGCGAAAATTACTTGGATATTATTTTTCTAAAAATATCGTGGAAATAAGGTAGGTTGATACAGAAACTATTTATCGCACGTGTACTGTATATGAGCTTCAAAATAAATAAATAAAAATAGATTTTATCAAACGATGAGATCAGCCGATTAATTGTATCGTGTACAATATTTTACACCCCCAAGGAAAATACTGTAGGTCTAGGGTAAAATAAATTTTGTTTTCCCACAGTTAAACTTCGCCGCTAATTGCTGTTGTGATAACTTTAATACGATCTTCTAACGACAGCACTTTGCATTTCGGACATTTTCCAACAAACTGAAATGAATTTCCTTTGTTGCTAGACTAATTTATTAACACCTGCACCTAATTTCGAGGGTGGGAGAAGTGCCCGGGATGGGTTCGAACAAGAGTTTAGACTAATTTATTATATTAGGAGGGAGAAACGTTGTTAAGATGGGTTCTTACAATAGTTTAGACCAGATCCATTCGCGAAAGTGGTCGCTTATTGCAGGTGTTGTATGTTGTTTCGGACCAAAAATCGATGCCCGCGGTCGCGTTACACGGGTGGTCGTTTAATACAGGTAACTTATACAAAGACTCTATGGGTAAACTATTCCGTGCCAGAAATTTTTGCCCGTCTTGACAGGTGCCCGTCGAATGCGGGTGGTCGCGTAAGCAGTTTTTACTGTAGTTCTAAACAGACTTAGATGAGTTACAGTCACTTACCTCCGGGGTATGGTTGTTCTCTGGTTCCGGCGACATGTGGGCGGAAGTGTCGGTCTGTGTTGTAGATGAGCTTGTCGATGGCTTGCTTAGCTCTGAAAGGAAGCTTGGCGATTGTTCCGAGCAATCCGGTATCTCTTCTGTCACAGCAGCGAATGAAACGTTCATCGATGTTCGCTGTCTTTTTGCTGCGGGTTCCGTAGGCGAAGTCATGTTTTCGGTCGAAAGCGCTGATTGGTCGTCCCGCTTTCTTGACGTCAGTTCCGAGTCTACAGTATTTCAGGGAATAGTAAATCTCATAACTAGATCTTTTCACAGCTATCTAGACATTGACATTGAGCACCAGTAGTAAGTTCAAAGGAAATGGATAGTCTTATTCTAGAAGCACAGCCTACAATAAAAACAGCCTAGTCAAATGGGGGAAATCCCATTAAAGTGTTGTGTCCAAACGAATATATTTTCTTCCGCTAGATGGAGCCACAAAACGGACCATAACAACAAGGTCAGGACACGCTCCCCTGATTCTATGCAGCAGCGGCCATTTTGGGACATATCGATATACTACACTCAACACGTAGTTCCTGCGTGAGTCAACTATTATTACGTATATAAGTACTCAAACCTTTAAACAATCGGGACATTCCAATTTTCAACGCTGACTCAGCGCTGATCTAAACATTCGTCAAAATTCGTTCCTTTTTTCAACGTTGAGGTAGTGCTGTTGTCAGCGCTGACTCAACACACACAGCACTCAACAGATATGTTGACTGCTACTTTCCATTGAATTGTGGGTAATTGGTAAGACATTTGAATGGAATCCATCNATTGTCAAATAATTTAATTTTAAAATTTTATTTTTGGAATTTTTTTGAAAGCCATTTATAAATTAAAAATATATCTACACATCTATTACTTATAAAATGAGCATTACATTGACATTTATTAAACTATATAGAAATTTTAACACCGGAGTAGATAAATTTTCCAACTTCACTGCCTGTAACCGGTGTTCTTCTTCTCCAATGGAGAGGACTTTGCAAACGTTTTCGAACCTAATGTTGTTCTTCTTCAACGGTTAATTCCCGACTGGAAATTGAAATTCATATAGGGAATTCTATAGTGCCTGAAGAAGAACAACATTAGGTTCGAAAACGTTTGCAAAGTCCTTTGCATTGGAGAAGAAGAACGCCGGTTACAGGCAGTGAAGTTGGGTAACAACATTTATTAATAATACTATTGAATTTCATACTTTAACCCTGCGTTAGTGCACTGAGTTTTTTTTCGGCATTAGTGCAGTGGGGCGTTTGTCCACCCCGACATTTTTTTGGGTCCATAAACCATGTAAGTAAAAATTCATAAAGATTTACTCATTTATTTGGTAAAGGCATGTGCCATTATACATATGATTATATTCAAATATGATTACATATTATATTAGTACATAAATCCATGAAAATAAAAAACAACACTTATCAAAACTCATTACATTAGATCTTATTGTGAGGACCCGAACAGGGGTCGATTGAGAGGTTCGAATTATGGGTTCGATCGAAAATTAAGAGCTCCTTTTCAGTCGATAAGGAAACGGATTAGGTGTCTCGATTGAACAATGCAATTGTTTTTTTTTTTCTCGCGAATCTTTTAAACAATGGAAACGGTTAAATTCGAAGAAAACGCGACGAGAGAAAGGAATCATATTCAGTCGCACGGTGACCTCTCCCGCGCCCTTCATTAGGTTTCGAATTGTCACCAGGTGACTATGAGAGACCAATGGAGAGGCGACGACGGTTAAGAAATCTATAAAACCGTGCGACTCGAGGAAAAAAGGTTCCTGGTTCATAGCGCTCCTCTCCTGGAATTTTGTGCTCCTGTTATTCTACAGCAAAGGCTAGTTCGACGTCCCAGGCTTCGTTTTGGCTAGCCCGTCCCTTCAAGACCCGCCCAGGTGCTCCGAGTCATTGGAGATCATCGATGAGAGT